TTTGATTAGTATTTTTCTACCTCAGTTTCCTCTGTGAGATAAGGGTAACTGTGGTATCGGTCTCAAATAAGAGAATATTTAATAATCTTTTAAAGAGCTCTATAAGAAGGGGCTGGAACATTAAGTGCAATAGGAGTGCTCACAATTACTCCTTTCGCCATTGCTATTTTGGACAGAAAGTGGAATGGCAGACACAGGAATATTTTTTGAATAGCTGAATGACTGGCTGACTGAAGGAACACATGAGGAGAAGGGATCGTAGAGATTACTGTAGTCAGTGATTTTTCAAATCACATTAAACTTGGACTCCCTTTCGTCATTAAAAGTATTTGCAGCAACGTGGATGGAGCTAAAGGGTATTATGCTCAGCGAAATAAGTCAATCAGAGAAAGACAAGTATCATATGATCTCACTGATATGAGGAATTCTTAATCTCAGGAAACAAACTGAGGGTTGCTGGAGTGGGGTGGGGGGTGGGAGGGATGGGGTGGCTGGGTGATGGACATTTGGGAGGGTATGTGCTATGGTGAGTGCTGTGAATTGTGTAGGACTGATGAATCATAGACCTGTACCCCTGAAACAAATAATACATTATATGTTAATTTAAAAAAAAACTCTTAAAAAATTAACTTCACACACATACCAGATAAATAAAACTGATATAAATGGCCAAAAAAAAAAAAAAGTATATTTAGGGTGTGTAAGCCCAACAAATCAATTATATGAAAGAATAGCTAGCTACTCTAGTTGAAGGTGAGGGTTTGTGGAGTCCAGAGCCCCATCTTTTAGATGTGCATTTACCTCCTCAGCAGCCCTGGAGCTGAGTCTGTTAAAGGACTAGGAGAGCAGATACAACTGCAGAATGGTGCAGAATGCACAGGAAAATCTCTGATTTAAGTCCAACAGTTTAAGGCCCAAGAAGTTAGAAACTTAAATACTAAATGAAATCAAGTGGCCCGTGTAAACCCACACAAACGTCAAAACTAGATTCCAACTAAAGACACACACATGCCAGGTGAATTGTGGCTATTACATTGAGCAGCATTCCAAAATTCATCCAGAAATGCCACGTCTCTTCTGCTTAAAGTCATAGCGACAGGCTCATGGATAAATCTCTCAGAGAAAAGAAAAAAAATAGCTTAGAAACAAAACAAAAAACCCAAACTAAAACATTTTGTGTATTTTCTCTTCTTAAAAGACTACATCTAATGATTGATTCCTGAACACACTAGAATATGCTCGCTTCTGCTTCCTTTTTTCTTCCTTTGCTGCTTCAGGTTCTGAATTAATTCATTCAACAAATATTTGAGCACCTTCTATGAGGTAGCTAGCTCTGAGCACTTGAAACTCATTTGCAAACAAAAATACCAAAATCTATGATATCATGGAACTCTATTAAAATAAATAAAATGAAAAAACCCCACACCCCTAAATAAAATGAAAGATTTCTGAGCCATGGGCAAAGAGAAGTTGAAGATACTCCCAGAGTGACATTTCAAAAAAAGTCCTTAGCTCTTGATACATATAAGCAAGTACTATTTTTAATGTTAATATTTGCTTTTTCAGTTAGTCGATGCAGGAGGATATACATTGTAGTCTTGGTAACAAATCTTTATTGAGGAAAAATAGGCCATCTTTCAGTAACTTTTATTCTTCATCATTGACCATTAATATTATGTAACATAATCCAACAAATAGTTTGGGGAAATTTAAGACTGTACACGTGACTAAGAAAATGTCCCCTAAATAAACAAGTCTATGTTTTCATAACTCTCTAGGTCTGGCTGGCTCACCTTACTCTATGGTATCAGTAATCATTTCAGCCTCGGTGGCAATTAGTGCTTACTTACAGTACCTGAGCTATAAAAATAAGATTCCATTAGAGCAAAGTTCACAGATACTGTTTTAATCCAGCTATCCACATTGTAATCTAAAACAGTAAATGTCTGCTTCTCACATAACTGTTTTAGACTTGTAATTCAGTATATTTTATGAAACAGAATTGTGTCTGAAATAGCATTATAATGCTAAATATCTGCTTAAAGAATAATAAAAAAAAGTTAGCCATCTAGTATATTCAGTATTCAGGGATTTAAGATCACACAGAAAACCACATCTAGAGGAGTTACTGAATGAGTCACTTTTCTTCTGAGCATGTTGGCATTGGACAGACAGTCAGCATTCAGGCCTTATACATTTTAGGCACTCATCCAATTTACATATAATGTAATGCATATAAAAGGAAAAACAAAGTCCAAAACAAATTCCTGACTTAGAATGGATATACAGTATTGATTAGTATTTTAAAATAACTAAAGAAATATGTTTTTGTTAGTTTCATTAGTACCTATATTAAAACAAGTTTATTCCATTGGAAAGTGTGTTTGTTTCTCAATAGGAGTCAATTTACATTCCGCAAATCTTGAGTAATTTTTTACTACTTACCATTACAGGCACATAATAGAATCATACTACCAGTTAGTATTTTCTTCCACGTGAGAGTAATTAGGCTGTGAATGTTAACTCCTCAAAAACAACATCAATTTATCTAGCTGTTGATTAAAAGAAATAAGAAGCGACAGCATCTCTTTTATGGACAAAGCTGCACGTGTAAGTAAAGCATTTTAAAACTTTTGGATGCTATTTTAAAGCAATTAAAGGATTGAGAAAAATAAAATGCATTCGTTAAAGTCACATAACATACTAGGAAAAAAGGAATTCTGTGCTTGACTATTAAAAGGAACTTCCATAATATTTTTCTTAAAAATATTTATAAAGCACTTCTGCTATGATTCTTTTTTTGTTTTGAAACAAATAATGTAATGCATAAACCACAGTAAACTCTGCAGGATGCATAATGCTATCTATTGTTAAAGAAAAATCTATACATTATACTCATGTAAATCCCATTTGATCATGCCAGTAATTAAGAGAAACACACTGATTATTGTCACATATTAGAGATATAGAGCATAGGAAAAATAATTTACAAATGAAACTGTTCAAATTTGATTAATATTAAGCCATCTTATAAAAATTTCAGGAAATATCAGCTCAATTCTCTTTTTATTACTTCCAAAGCTACCTCAAAACATATGCTAAGGTGAAATGATGATTAACTTTCCATAGGGTCGATGGAGGGAAGTTGGAGCACAGGGAGGGTGTGGGGAAGTGAAGCTTAATTAAAACTAAATTAGCAGCTCTCCTTTTATAATCATTGGAGATGGTTAGGGTTTGGGGGAACAGTGGGAAATTGTAAGGAATAGAACTCCGAAACTAGCAATGTTAGAGCTGAGGAGTCAGAGGAACTTTGGACCTTGATTTTTTTCTTCTATCCTGGTCACTTCATCTGAAACCTCTAAGGACCATCTATAAAATAAATTCTCTTTTTTCTTGGATAGCCCGAAGTCTAAAAAAAAAAAATACTGATAAATGATGCTAAATTACTGCACAAGCATAACTGCAACATGGTTATATCATAATAATACTTATACTATTTATGATAGTCTGCCATTTCTCCAAACCACTAAATTTCTTGGAATACATCATTGTGATCAAAGGTGTGCCATTATATATCAGAATTTAAGTTCATCTATTGATTACAGATTTCCTTCTTTCCTTCCTTCCTTCCTTCCTTCCCTTCTTCCTTCCTTCCTTCCTTCCTTCCTTCCCTCCCTCCCTCCTTCCTTCCTTCCTTCCCTTCCTTCTTTCCTTCCTTCCCTCCCTTCTTCCTTCCTTCCTTCCCTTCTTCCTTCCTTCCTTCCTTCCTTCCTTCCATCCTTCCTTCCTTCCCTTCTTCCTTCCTTCCTTCCTTCCTTCCTTCCTTCCTTCCATCCTTCCTTCCTTCCCTTCTTCCTTCCTTCCTTCCTTCCCTTCTTCCCTCCTTTCCTGTCTTAAATTAACAATATCTCCTAAGATAGTCTGCCAGGATACAGTGCTCCAAATACAGTAACTGTGGCTTGGCAGATCCATTCTATAAAACCAACTGTTTTATATGCTTTGTGCATTTGCAAAATGGATCTAGCCAGCAGAAATGAATATATTCAGTGCAGACAACCTAACTGGATCATTTAACCCATTAATTTGAGTCTTTAAGTCTGAGGCTATACCAATCCTATCAATCAGACAATTATTCACGTATCAATTCCTGTTGCTTGTGAGCTACATTCAGATTGTTCAGGAATGCACTTACCTGATTAGTGTATTCTTACATAGAGACCCAACTTCAGCCATGATCACAGCTGTTGACTTGTTTTAATAATACATTTGTTTTCAAAATATACAAATCTGGGTTTATTGGTTCTACATGGCTGTTTTACTTTCATCAAATCCCCATTTTAAAATGTGTATTATCTGCTCACATATTTGTTTTGCAACCCTCTTGTCATCCCACATTCCACTACCCAATTTCACACGCAAAAAAATCTTGCCAAGCATTTCAAAGAACTCAATTCCTAATTTGAAATAATTCCAGCAGACAACCATAGGGATGTGTCTATAGAATGCCAAAAAAGATCTTATCAATTGTGTCAGAAATTTAGTCATTCATCCGCATATTTTGTCTACATCCTACCAAACATGTTTAATGAATTCTGCTAACTGACTAAAAATCAGACAGAATTGCCTTGACATTATTTAGACATGGTTCCAAACAATAAAAAGAATGGCAATAAACACTCTTAAATAGTATATTCAGACTGACACAGATTCCAACCTTAAAGTGACTCCCATTGGGCAACGTGGAACAGAATCTTTATGATATGGTTGAAATTTGGATTCTAAAAATGCCAAGGATCCACAAAATTTTTATCATCCTCCAGTTGATTTCAAAACTAGATCATAGAAGTACTAGATACCCAATGAACCAGAAGAATTAAATGTTGTTCACTGCATTTGAGTTCAAAACTGACCAATTTATGCTGGGCAATTTACTGATGACAATGACTATTTATGACTGTGGATATCCATTTTAATTAGGTTATTGCTTAAGGATCATAATTGGCCTGGAATCTTTTGGAAAATTTGTAGACTACTTTATATAAAGTTACAGAAAATTGTGAAAAAGTTGCATGCTTTAAAAACTTAGTATTTCCAACAAGCCTGTGGTTGAAAAAGAGTATGAAGACAATCATAAGTGGATGTTTTTAACACAGTTTCTTGATATTTACAGTATTTTTTCTTCTCTAGTTGCCCTCCCTTCAAAGTTGGTCAATTGTTTTTCCGGGTTTTTTTTCACCTCACATTCAGTACAAGGAGGCATTTGCAGTTTCTGTCAAACAATACAGAAAAGACAATTACAATACTTAAAATAAATATATGTTTAAGGTAAAAGTTAAAATCTTCACAACAGTAATATAAATTTTTATATCTCAACAAATATAGAAAATGAATGCTAGACCAATAAATGTAAATGTGTTAATACTTCTCTTTCATGGAAGTACATAAAATATTATTTATAAATGGCAGATATTTCAAAAACTATTTTGAGAAGACTTTAGCTAAACCATCCAACTCTGATTAATCTAACCCACAAGTTAGGAAATGTTGTGTTAAGTGAAATGATCCCTAAGAATTGCTATGATAGAATATTTTTGGTCAAATATAGAACAGTACAGAAGGAAGTTCAGAATTAAGTTCCTGAATTGTGTTTGTTGTTTGTTTTTGTTGGGGATATGTACTTCTTTCTATCTCCTCTGTTTCCCCAAATCCTCTTTTTTAACTTTTTTTGTTCCATAAGGAATAGATGTATGGTTTTTGTTATCCGTTTATTTTTGTTTTGTTTCTTGGTTGTGTGTGTGTGTGTGTGTGTGTGTGTGTGTGTGTGTGGTGGGTGGGAGGGATGTACCTCCCTCACCCTTGTTCTTCTGAGGACCTCAGATGATCAGAACAAAAACTTAGTGGCTGGCACAGTGGTCATGGAAAGTCCAGAGGCACTAGGGGAAGGAAGTATCTTGTATCAGTCAATACAACATCTCTGCTTCAGCTAGAGAAAAATCACTGGACCCAAAGGATTCAAGTTCTTTCTGACAAAATCAAAACAAACAAGCAAATAAAATACCTTTGGGGTAGTCACTGGCTCTTCAGTGGCATTGATTAGGGGAATGTTTTTGTGCTTTGTTGAGCAGGTCCTGCCATCTTGTAAAACCTGCAAATGAAAATAGATCAATGTAGTTAAATTAAATGAAGGAGGGGATAGAAAAGTTCCCTTGAATTCTTCCCACTGAGAAACTTTCTTCACTTTGATGCAAGCTGAAAGGGCAAGCTAGGGACAAAATAAACTCATCACATCCTGAGTGGGAGCCGAAGGAGAGATCAAGCACTCACAGGTGGTTTGGGGATCTTAGTGGTGCTTATGAAAGTCAGCTACTACAACAAAATTCCATTCCAATGGAAAGTTCTTTCTTTGCAAAAGCAGTTAAACTGAAGTAAAGAATTATAAAACTATTCTATCTGTGATGCATCTGGACTCTAAGACTTAAATATGTCAGTGGTCCCTACAGCGGCAGGAACATCAATATCACAAGCCCCGAAGCAATTTGAACAGTATAATCATCAATCTGTCTAGCAAAAACTCATCGGTACCTTAAAAAAGATTACATTTTGGAAAATAAGATCTTATATTTTACTAACCAGGAATTCTCATCTTCATTAGCCTCAACAGTTTTGAAGAACTGCTGGCAGTGTATTCCAATTGGGCTTCATTTCCATTTTAACCAAGGTTAAAATATTGACCTTCCCTTCCTTCCTTTTCTCCCATGCTCTCTCCTTCTCTCTCCCTCCTTTTCTTTCTTCCTTCCTTGTCTGCTTCTCTTCTCCCTTTCCATACTATATCATTCTACCTCCCTCCCTTTTTTCCTTCATTTTTTTTTAAATTTTATTCATGTATTTGAGAGAGAGAGAGCAACGAGAGTGAGAGAGAGAGCACAAGTGGGGTGAGGGGCAGGGGGAGAAGCAGGCTTTCTGCTGAGCAGGGAGCCCAATGTGGGGCTCGATCCCAGGACTCTTGGATCATGACCAGAGCCGAAGGCAGATCAGATGCCTAACTGACTGAGCTACCCAGGCATCCCTTCTTCCTCTTTATTTTAAAAACATTTTCAAAGTAACTACAAAAACTGTTTATTGTAAGGATATGCTTCTTTTTGGGGGGGGCGAGTGATTTCTTCTAATCCTTTCCATGTGTACAACAGAGCCTAGGAGTCAAAGAGTCCATGGCCATTGGGTAGCTCTGAACTTGAACAAGTCCATTTGTTTCCTTGGGATCTTACAGCGGGGAGCAAAGTTATTTTTATATGCTTCCTATTCTCACACTGTATTGCTCTTAATTGAATACACACTATGCTCCTTTACCATTCCATGCCTATATGTATGCCAGCCACCTCACCTTCACAAAAGTCTCTCTTCATTGTGACATCCTGACAACCAGCTACTCATTCCTTTCCTAGGATGCCATTTCCAGCACTAGATGCACTCAGTCATACTTTTCTGCTCGAAAGGTACAATGCATATAAAAACTGTATCACTTAACAATGTTTTTATATGTGTAAGCATGCCTAGCTCCTCAATATATTGTCAGTTCCTTGAAGTTAGAGGTAACATTTGTCAGCTGTACATCCCAGCTTGATGCCAACAGATACCAAGGGGCCAATATGAAATCTCTGAATAAATAATAATGAAAATATTATTGGCTATGAAAATATTTTAGTCCTTCAGAATTTTAATAAATGCCTGATTTTTTTCATATGATCAGATTTAGGTTTATTTGATTGAGACTCCAAAATGGTTACACAGAGTCCCTTTTTCTATATAAACCTATGTTATAAGAGCAAAGTAAGATAACAACTATAATAATAGAAATCTCAAAATCTTGACTACCTTATTCCAAAGAATTTTAGACAGAGGCACAGAGGAATCTTGTACACTAACTAAGAAATGTGTTTGTTTTTATGTTCTATGGGTTTGAATTAGACCTGGAATCTAAAATTTCTCTAGAATATTATAATTATTCTACTTTCATTGTGGTAATACAACTGGCTTGTGTTTTTATCATGCTTGCATTCAGCCTTTGAAAAATTAACAAATAATTGTATGAAATCAAGCTCAAAAAACATGATCAATGCAGAAAGTATCCTGCAAAGTATAAGCTTTCCCAAAATATATTTTAGGATAATGGCATTTGTAGGTCATACATGATTTGGGGAAAAGTTTATTTGAACATTAAACAGTTGTATTTAAAGTAGTTCTTCTCAAAGCCTATAGCATGTAATTTCTTAAAGTTGTGGTCTTAAATGACTTGTCCACATAATTGCATAAGGTGATTGTTAAAACATAACACTCCTAGGTGGTAATTCAGTCCTAGACTATGGGGCTTGCATTTTTAATCAGCACTCCAACAATTCAAATGCACAGTCAAATTTGAAATCCACTTCTTCATAATGCACAAATACATTACAAATCTCTTAGAAGGACATATAACAATTTCCCAATTCTATTTGACCTCAAAACCCTGTCTTGTGTGGTGCTTCACTTGAGGTCATTCTCATGAGGAAGATACTACAGGATTTGCAGTGGAGTTTTTTTTTCTTTCCTTACTGAGAGCACAGCCGACTATTTCAGACAAGGATCATCTGAACAATGAAAACTTATTAAACTTTAACACTAAATAAAATTTTATGTGGCTGAAAGATAGCTTAAACCTTTTTTGATACTTTGATCTTATAATGAACACTACCTTTAAATTTATTTTTTTCTGTGCCTCACAGGCACTGTAGAAATTTCATGAGAGGACGTTCATAAAATTCTTAGTGTTTCTCAGAGAGGCAACAGATATAAGAACAACATAATTATCACTTGCAGGTATCATGCCTTAATAAGCATCTTATCAACTTTGTAGCTATTGATAAAGTGGGCATTCCTTGGTGAAAACATAAAGGGAAGTTTCTTCATGGAACCCTCTCACTTGGCTGCCAACATCACCCAGATTGCCAAAAATTCCAGACAAATGTACTTAAGGAAGACAAAAAAAAAGACACATTAGGTAATTTTGCCTAATGGTTAAAATGCTTGGAGTAAAATAGACTTTGGTTTGAGTTTTAGCTCTGATGTCTATTCATTGGTGATCTTGATAAAATAATTTGATAAGTTACTTATTTCTGGGCCTCAGTTCATTGGCTGTAAAATGGAGCTAATTCACAGAATTATTTTGAGGACAAAATGAGAAAATATACAAAAATATTCAGTTAAATACTAACAAAATAAACATTCTCCCCTTTCTCCCTCTTCTACCTTCATACTAGTATTAGCATCGTTAATGATTATACACGAACAATTATGGTGAGTTGCCACTGACATTATGCATGACATATGGGACAGAATCAACAGTCACATAATTCCCATGCACAGAAGTGGAAGAGGGAAGGGGGAGAGAAAAGAAAATGGAGACATGAGTGCTGATTTGAAGGGAAGCAAAATCACTTAGGACTAATACTTCTCTTCTGACACTATAGATAAAATAATGACAATTAATAATCATCAATTAATAATTAATAAAATTAAAATAATAATTATTAAATTATTGTTATTAAAATAATAATACAGTTAACACAATGTTCTTTGTTGGGAGGAAAAAAGACGAGAGGGGCACCTGGGTGACTCAGTTAAGTGTCTGACTCTTGGTTTCAACTCAGGTCATGATCTCAGGAGTGGTGAGTCAGAACCCTGCATTTGGGCTCCACGATCGAGGGGTTGGGGGGGAGTCTGCTTGAAAGATTCTCTCCCTCTTGCCCCTCCCAACACTTGCACGTGGGCATGAGCAACACACACACTCTCTTTCTAATAAATAAATAAATCCTTTTAAAGAAAAGATGAGAAAATAGAAGTTTCAAGGTTATGCAAAATGATGTTGATATATTTAAAGATTTATCCAATAAAACACAGGCTTGAGGACGCTACTGGCCAACTCCTTAATTTTACTCTTGTGAAACCATGAGCAGGACCTAGTTAAAACTTGCCAGACTCCTGACCTGTGGAAAATGAGAGATAATTGGTGTCTCTTAAAGCCATTCACTCCATGATAGTTTGTAACTGAAAACTAATACAGATATTATGGCAGAAGACCTATATGTCATATCATGTGAACCTAAGTATCTTATTATTGTGTTGCTTTACCTTTGTTTTGGTAATTTAACCATAGTTAATGTATTGGTTCCACACTTTGTGAAGGTAGATGGTAGTTAAATTATAAATAAAAACTCTTTCGGGGGTGATAATTTAAAAATAATTGTGTGAACACAATATACAGATGCCTTTTTAAAATGTAATAACAGATAATCTCTTTCCCAATTCTTTCTCCCAATGTCTTTGTTGCTATTAATACTGCTGGCTCTTTCATGGTCTTAAAATTCTCTCTTTAATAACCCTTCTCTCTTGACATTTTATTATCTAATCTCTTTGTCCCCTTCATCTCAAGCCCTCATATTCACACATGAGGAGAACAACAGGTATATAACGTTCTCAAGGCCACAAAGGTATTGTTGCTGCAAATAAAACCCATGTCCACCTTGCAGTGAATTTGGGATCTTTCCAAGATTCCATGCTACTTTTTCTCACATTCTCATTTAACTTTATAATGTCTTATACTTTAATTGTCATGTTACATTTTACAGTTTTAGCTAAGGACACAATTTTTAACAACAAAATAGTTCCTCCTGTACTTTTGAAACATTTAACAAAGATAACTTAGTAAATAGTAGGCACACATCGGGGCTTGATGAATAATGAGATGTATTATCCAGAAAAGAAGAAAATAAGACTCTTGGATAGTTAGGGTGACTAGGGATTTCTTCATGAAGGAAGCAACAGGAATTCATCCCTGAGTAATGGGTAGAGTTGTTTGTGGCAGAGTCAGCAGGAGGAAGGAGAAGTTACAGTATTATGGTGGGAGAACACATCAAAGGTAACAGTGTTGAGGCCAGCTGAGACAGTTACTACTGAGAGATAACTAGAATAGGGACAGTTCATGGAAGAACTTGTAGGCCAAGCAGTGATATGTATACTCAATTTTGCAATTATGAAGAGCCAGGTATACTAAATATCCTGCAATGATATGCCTACTTGTCTAAGGAAGTTTACAAGTTAATGCT